TTCTATTTACTTCCAAGTGAACACGTCTGCTTCCTGGCCCGCTCCCTTGTGGATAAGACTTCCTTAGAGGCACCTCTGTCAGAAGTGGGGTCAAAAACACTGTGAGAATTGATCTCGTCCTTCAAGCTTATAAACACTCACTGTCAGTTATAGCTACAGGAGGAGACATCTGTAGCGGAGCTGTGGGACATGCCAGCTAAAGCACAGCCTGTATCGAGTTTATCAGAGTTTTAGGGTTTCTTTGAGAAATCTGTAGACATAATTACCAGAAAGGAGAGATATTTAATGTATATCGCTACTGTATAATTCTTCTACATGCCAACAATAATCTCATTTATCTCTCAGATCTGAGCATGAATTTCCAGAGCTGAAATCTAAAATACATATTCATGTTTCACATGAAAGCTCTGCACATTTGATATTAAAATCTATGAGACCGTGAAGGTGGAGCCTTCAGTCGCCTTGTATAGAGAATGTCCTAGCAGAGGGTTACAGCTTTGTACGGCGTTGTGCCACCTTCTTGTATTTTGTACCATACAGTGTTCAGAGTTTTACAGCTTACTGACTCTTATAAATTTGTATAGGCAAATTCCTTTAAAAGGAATACTAATTCCTTCACAAACCTCCTCTTTTTATGAACAGTGGAAAAATAAGACTACAAAGCACTTTGACAGTATAAGACATAATATTCAATGCCCTTAATTACCCAGTTAACAAAAATGTTTTAATTTAAGTTAACAAGAGACAGAGCAGGCAGATTATGAAAGGTTAGGTGTATAAATGTCTCCACTTTCCAGATAGGATCTGAGCCCTCTGGTCAGGAGCACAGTAACCAACATTAAGGCTCTCCCTAGTGCTTCCTCTTTCTGGGGAATTTGGTATAATCAAGAAACATCATCACAGTTTATACTGGCTCTGTCTCTATTTGGGCAGAGAGCATGTTGTGAAATAAAAAGGCAATCATTATAGTCTAAGCTAATGACTTTGGAAAACTTGAGTCAAGGAAAAGGAATAATTTTAAGATTGTATTCCTTCCCTTTTTTTTTTAAGAATGGGGTCCTATCTGGATAAATAGTTTCAAACTAACCTCATTTTCTTCAACACAGAGTGACAAGTCTTGTGGATGGAAGAAGAGCAGTAGTAGTCACCTCTGTTGACTTCAGTAAGGCTTTGACAGTAATCCATAAGACATGTTCACAGACACGTTATAAATTTAGGCTAGATTAAGCTGCTGCTATGGAGGAGGGGTACAAACTGATGCAAAAAAACATACTTCGACTGTCAATGGTTCACTGTCAAAGTCGAAAGATGTATCAAGTGGACTTTTGCTGGTCCAGTCCTATTCAACCTCCTCAGTAATAACTGGGATGTTATTTATAGACCGTACAGAGGTGAGAGGAAATACAAGCATACCAGAGGGCAGGGTTCAAATTCAAATGATCTCAAGAAACTCAGGAAATAGTTTGAAAAAGCCAGGGGGACATTTAAGAGGGAAAAAGGCACTAGGCGATATTGGCAGCAGCACAAATACCAGATGGGGAACAAACAAGAACTAGTGCAAATACTGGGAGTTCATACTGGATCACAGATTGAATATGAGTGGCAAATGTGGTATTACCGAAAAAAGGCAAACTTCATACTGAGATGCACAGTCAGGAGGACAGCCAGCGAGCTGGGGTTGTCCGCGTGTGCTGCTTATCACCAGTAAAGCCTCCAGGATGCATGCTATTGTGCCTAGTTCTGAGTAATGCAAAATGAATGGATCAGTGGAGACCGTTCAGAGAAAAGCAGGGAGGACTAAAAAACATGCTCTAAACGGAAGCGTGAAATTACTAGGGAGAAGGGATTCAGACAAGGGCGACTGGCCAAGGGCACAGAAGACTGTGGTGACATGCCAAATTCCTTGGATAGGTAAGATGTGCAATATATGTAGATCTACACACACACGTACATGCACACACACAGAGAATTATCTGTTAATAGACACGGTTTTAGTCAGACCCAGTGACACAGGACCAAGCTCCTGTTACTACTGTTCTCCACCACTGAAACTGTCCAGGAGTCGATGCAGCTGAGATTAAGCTCACCTCTGCAGTACCTGCTGTGAGAGTCACCGTTCAGTGGATCTCTCCTCAGCTATCCAAATACACATGCTAATAGGTCAAAAGCTCGGCACATAAAGAAAAAGAAGCAATTTGAACAAGAACTATGGCAAAAGAGTAGATTATTCAGAGCATGAACAACACTCCTGGTTTCCTTCTACTACTCGTATTCTCTAACTGATCTGTCATATGAAATAGGAGATTGAAGTTGCTTGCACCTGAAATGCAAAACTAAAAGAGCGTAGCTTTAGACTAGATATAAGGAAGAAAGAGGTTTCCAGGAGAGGTGGTAGATGCCCTGTCCCTGGAAACATTCGAGGACAGGTTGGATGGGGCTTTGGGCAACCTGATCTAGTTGAAGATGTCCCTGTTCACTGCAGGGGGGTTGGACCAGATGACCTTTAAAGGTCCCTTCCAACTCAAACTATTCTATGATTCTATAATTCTGTGAAATATACTGACACAGGATACTCCTTTGCTCAAGGTATATAAGCAGCTGGATGCTAAACAATTTGAGAGAAAAAAAAAAAAAAGAAGACAGAAAGAGAGAGAAAATCTGAAATAAGTAAAAAAAAAATCTTAAATCTGTCATCATTTCAGAAATGCTGAAGTGCTTGTAAAGTAGAAGACACTGTATCTCCTGAGAAAGCTGTGCTTGGCACCCTGTCACTGCTATGGAGTGAGTGACCAGATGGCGATTAAGTGTCATCTTCCCAAAGCTTTTCTAGGATCAGCTAAGAATTGCTGTAATGTTCTTTGATAAAGTTTCAGATTATTCACAGGGGCCTATGAAAACAGTTGAAGAATGTGCTTTTTGACTTAATTTTGACTGTACTCAAGCCAAAGTTCTTCCCTGAAATCCATATAATAGCACCAGCTCTGGATTCCCAAAGCAGGAATTGCTTATGTGATACCTGTGAACGCTTTGAGGATTGGTGGTCATAGGTTGAAGACATATGTTGGACTAAAGATATTCTCAAATTCTGCATCAGCAACAGCTCTTCCACCTGAAACCAGCTCAGAACCCCCCCATGACAGCTCTTGTTGGTCAGCATAGGAGTGTCAAGATGATTTATGTTTTTGATGTAAGGCTGCTCTGTCAGAATGAATATCTTAAAAAATAGCTAAGGTTCTAAGGTAAATGGCCAAGATTATTTCTTGCTGCTCAGACAAATTCATAGTCACCTATGCTGTTGTCAAACACTGTTGGGTATCTACTTGGTGCCCGCTGGCGGCAGAGCTCACCTAGACAGACTGATGTGGGACTATCCCCAGGCACTGGGGGAATAAACCATTCCTGAAAAATATTCAGCATAGGTATTTTTACTTCAGTCCCGCTTAACCTGGAAGATGGCAATTAGCCCATGCAAAAATGGGCTAATGATCAGAGTGGTTTCAAAGAACGTTTATCAATATGTTGGTAGACATTTTATCTATATAAATATATAAAATGTATATGTATATATAATATATAAAGTATATATATTTTAAATGTATAAATATGAGTGGCTCAATACACGCTGTCTATGCTGCACACCATTAGAGGTGGCGGTCGCAGCTGCATTGCTTCCTCTGTGCGATATCCTACCCAGTGCACCCACAGCGCTTCACCTCTTATGGGCAGAGATCTGGGATGTGTCCCCACTGGGATGCCTCATCCAGGAAGGCCAGAGAGGGTGGGATTTGGCAGGGGCTCCCCCAGCAGCCTGCAGCATCCTGCTCTGGCAGAAACAATGGCTTTGCATCAAAGCAATCTGTTTTGCCAAAAAAGTCCACTCAAAAAAACCAAAACCACCAAACAAGAAAAACCCGATGCAACATTTAGATGAGTGGTCTCAAAACACAAGGGGATTAAAGCACATCTTTTCTCCTTTCTGCCTGTAGCTCAAGCTTGTTCCTCCTGGCAACCCACACTGCTTGCAGCATACTGTCCCCCTGTCTGTTTTTACCAGACAGTCCACACTAGCTGCCTCTTCTCCTAACTCCTCATGTTCCATAGCTATTTAAATGATCAGTTTAACTTAATTTCCCACTAGTGCACCTTCACCCTGATCAGCAGGGAGGGAAACAGAACAGGACCTGTCCGTGCTTGTGTGAATGCTGAGTGTTTCAGTCTGTGCTGGTCTGTGTGGCTGGCCACGCGTATAGGTGTATGCACAGCGTGTGTGTGCGTGTGTGTGGGCACGCGCGCCTTTTGGGAAGACAAATTCAGCCTTGCTGCCGACCGTACCTGGGGCATGGAGCTGAGGCAGCCTCACCTCTGTGAGGCTACTGAATTCAGCAACCTCAAACAGATGTCTCTGTTCTGCCTTCTCTAACTCAGCCATGCTTTTCCCTCCATTCCCATTCCTCAGTCAGGCTGCAGTTTACAATGAGTTTTAACAGGTATGTTACTTGATCTGAGTCCATGTAAGTAAGTGACTTGCTGAATTTAGGTTTACTCTCCTTTTGAATCCTCACCTCTGATCTTTTTCTCAATGCAGTGTAGACATCTCCACCTCACCCACCATAGACATCTCCATCTGAAATACCTCCCTATATAATCTATGGAGAATGATAAGCACCTTTAGGAAACAGTTGAACTGACTTATTTCAAGTGTCTTTAGGAGATAAATAACAGCCTAGAAGTACCTGCTTTTCTTCACTGGCTGTTAAGGGATATATGTTATTGTCCGATACTTGATGTAACAGCTCACTGAGCTGAAGGTTTAGTAGCTCTCACCACTATTTTGGCTAACAAGTCTGTGGTTGAACTTGCTTTGGTGGCAGACCTCCAAGGAGCACCCAGCTGGAGAGTGGTGGTGTGCTGGTGATGCAATGAAAACCCTCCTACATTTCTGACTGCATGCCAGTGACGCACCATGACACCTGTCTGGAAAATTTGATTTTTCTAAACAGGATCAACTCTGTTAACGTGACTGAAGATCATCTATCGAGATGAGCAGAGAAGGTGACCTGCTTTCTTCCACTTAGATGTGAAAGCGTGGTCCTGATCACATACAGACATATGTTATTAAGTGTGGTGATGTCGGTTCATTTGCCCCTGCGTGCATGCTGCTGCCTTGCTTCCTGCTCTTTCTATGGATTTGACAGCCTGCCCTGCTTCTTGGGCTAAGCAGCTGGGGAGTACTGATGGCTGCTTTCCAGTTGGTTTCCTATCCTAACTCCAAAGTAGCTTCAACTTGTTTGCAATTGTAGTGTTAGGAAAACATGTGGGAATCTGGGGAGGTAAAAGGTCCTTCTTGACTAAATGAAACAATATGTTGTTGTATTGTCATAACCTAGTTTGGACTCCCAGGAGACTCTCATGAATCTGACAAACACTCAAAATGCTGGAAGCAAAACTAACTTTGAATCCTTGTTCCTCATTTGTTTCTAAAAATACCGCAGTTTTTCTACTCGCAAAATAGTAACCCGAAATAGCAACACAAAATAGCAACAAGATTCTCAAGGTTTATTTATTAAATCAGGAAATTACTCAGTACTCTCCCGAGCAGTCTTCGTTTTTTCTTCCCCTTCTCTTGGTAAGTCTGAAGAGAGTACTTTCAGCAGACGGGGAAAGGGTGAAACATAGAAAGGATGTTAGAGTTCAACAACAGCATGCTGCTTATGTCCCAAAGAAAAGGGGGACATCACCTCAGGGACTTGAGCTGAGCATCCACATTATAACAACACGGTGGAACATTCAGATCCAAAGCCAGGCGACGGGAATGTGACCAGCGTCACTCCCAGGTGTGGTGCAAGGATGTACCACAACCAAGAGGAAGGGAACTTTTTTCAGTAGCAGAAAATTCTCCAAGCACCATCTGGATTTGAATAGAAGTACTTGTTAAAGGAAATAACTTATAAACATGACACTATCCTTTGTAATTTACACTCCTTTCTACACACATCCTTTTCATAACACACAAACACACACACACACACAGTTGATGTACTCCTCCTTCTACCAAACCCATTCATAGGCTATAACTTTTTTTAGTCTTGCAAATTTATGAGAAGCTTCTCAAGCTGTGAGGAAGAGAGAACATGGCCAAAGGACAGAAAAACTGAGGTATCCCCTTTAGCATCTAAATGTGAGGTAGGAAGAGAGGATAAGTTTGCTTTCCTTAGTTAACCCAAGCAATCCCTTAGCTTTCCTTAGTTAACCCAAGTAATCCATTAGCTTAAAATGCAATAATTAGTGTGATTGACTCCTCTGCAATGATTTATGGGGAAGAGGTGAATCTGAAGGCATAGCAAGAGTACATCACTACACATCTTTAGCCTTTCCTTCTGATGCTTCTGTATGACATCTGCCTAGTCTTTGGTCTTACAAAAAGCCTATAGAGTCTCATAAAAGTGAGGTCAGTAAGAGTCTGTGGAAAAGTAAAAAAGCTCAACAGGATTTATTGTTAATTGTTATAACCTACAATATTAATCAAAACAAACATGTTTTTTTTCTTATTTGTTTGATGTTAGTCCATAGACTGTAAGACAGTTGTTCATCCCCTCTGGAACTTTGTCTACAACTTCTATAGGAAAGGCAGGCTTCTCTATTAAAGTGTGATTTTTTTCTCTAACTAGATTAATATTTGCTCTCCTGGATGTGACTAGCACCTCCACTAATAAGAAATAAATACAGGATTATAATTTAAGAGAACATTCCTGAAAAGGATGCTTTATCTGACAGGGTTATCTTGTTTGCTAGCAATAGGAAAGCAGAACAATTTGTTATCAGATCTTCTGGCTAAAAGTGAACAATATTTGTAATCCAAGTGCAACAATACAATGAAGCCAGGACTAGCACCCTCTGTGTTAGCTTCTACTAACACGGAGAACAGTTTCTGCTCCAAGGAGCTTATGGTACAAGGACCTGGAGTATCACACGTCTCCAAGAATGCAGATTTACTGCTGTATGGCAGCTAAGTACTAATGGAGAAAAAGAAGTAAAACTGAGTTGCTCCTTTTGGATTCACTGGTTGTAGCTGAGAGAGATTCTGAAGTAAATACAAACAATTTCCACAGGCTGGAGAAATTTCATGCTTGCACAGAGGTCAGGTTGTGCACTCCTCTTTGCAAAATGGATTCCATGCATGTTATCAGAACTGTATTTCCATTGAGGTTTTTGTCCATTCCTCAGCCGGCATAACCAAACTACAGTATCTAAGTTAGTGAATACCCAAAAATGTAACAGGCAATCAGTGGTAGCTGCTAATCACAGCACTTGGGAAGTGATGCTCATTTTGAAAGAAGCAGACTGTAGATTTGAAAGACAGCATGTTCTCTCTCCACCATCAGCACAGCATTTGTTGTTCTGTCATCTTCTTCAGCAATCTGATCTGAGTTTGTGCACCCACAGCAAGGCAAAATACTTTTTACTGAGACGTTTTCACAACCAAAGACTCACCAAGCACAGTCTAGTCACATTCATACAGGTGGAAACTAGAACAGGATAATGTGGTCACCACAAGTGAACGGCAGCTGTGGCAGACAGGTAAAAGGAGCCATGTGTCAAGATGTAGAGGGGAAAATCATTTTGTATCTGTCACTTTGTAAAGAACCCGTGGTCAGAGCATCTTGCACCGAGTTGTTTGCAGTTTGAACATGCAGAAAGCTTATTGCTTTTCTTTTTCACCTCAGCATGACAATTTGTCTCCCAAAACACTTACTTAAGGAATTAGCTCTTAATCACATAAAAAGTTGACTTTGATTTCAAACTGAAGGAAGAAAAGTCTTTCCATGAAAAGCAAAGAGTATTTTCTATTTTTCCACTATTAACCCAAACAGAAGGATATGCTCTGAAGTCTGGCTCTGTAGGTACTGGGCCAAAAAACACCTAGGACAACATTGGTCTTCAGCATGGTCAGTGAGCATACATAGTCACCTGTAAGAAACAACTGCAGGAAATCCAACCCTCAGGGAATGGAAATTTCAAACATATTAAATCCAACACATGTATTATTTATTTCTGTATTAAGCATGATACTCAAGATGAATGAATGGTGGAACAGTAACTCTATGTAATGTTTATAACCAGGAAATAAAAGCTATTTATAAAAGCTAAATTAAAACACTTGGTTTTGTCCAACATTAAAAGTTTCTGTATAAAAAATTGTGAAATACAACATACTCTTTTTGTCCTGTGTATGTTCTCCAATCAGAAGAAGTAAATAATGATGAATAGTATTGCCCCATTTGTTAGAGAGTAGTACTGTTTAAACTGAAAACACTCAGAAGAAAAAATAATTTTAAAACGTTCTCACTGAATAAGAAAGGGCAGAAAAGAATTCTTACAAAAATCCCACTTATGTTCAGCACTGGTTTTACACTTTCCCATATACTTCACTGTAGAGTTTCATGCCAGAGTCTCTTCTCTGTCCACGTAAGGACACTAAGCCCTTTTCCTTGCTTGTGCACTGTGTTGCTGGCTGTAGGTTATTCCTTGTCTCAGGTTTCCCTCTCACAGGCTCTGCAGGTGACAAGTTTGGGCATTTTGTGCTCAGGAAATCCTTGGGCTAAGGATTTCAAGGATTTCAGTTGGATGACTCAGTGTTTCATGTTCTACCTTTTTGTGAATTTTCCAACATTGCTCTCAGGTAGCTGTTTTAAAAATAAGATCCAACAGCTGTGATGCCTTCCTGTGTACGTAGATTTGTCTTTGTTTTTTTGCAGGGCTTTTTGAGAGTGTCAGTTTTCTAATGTGTTAGCTTATACACATGGATATACAATAATGCCCTGTGAACCTGGGAGGGAACAGAGAAAAGAAGGTGATCCTGTATTACCAAATTTTCCTGGAAGAAAGCAGCTTTGAATTAAAATGGAGAGGCCACAAACTCCAGACTATGGCAGGCTTGAAGATACAGTTCAGCGGGAGGATAAAAGAAACACTGTACCACTAAAAAGGTCAAAATGCTTTCATGAAAGTAAAAATTACCCTTGTAAAAAGTCTGTTTTCTGTTCCAAGACACTATCACCTAAGTCTACTGATAGCAAAGATCACTGCAGGAATACATATTTTAGTATGTAGGGATCCTTATGTGAGGCTGAATAGCTATTCAGAGCTAATAAGCCATATTAGATTTCTGTGTTATGAAGGACAACCAGTTTTTCTTAAAAATTGATTTGTCCTTGCAAAGATTAGGGGGATATTTAGAATCATAGAGTCACAGAGTCATAGAACGGTTTGGGTTGGAAAGGAACTTCAAAGATCACCCAGTTCAATCCCCTGCCATGGGCAGGGACATCTTTCACTAGATCAGGTTGCTCAAAGCCCCATCCAACCTGGCCCTTGAACACTGCCAATGATGGGGCATCCACAACTTCTCTGAGCAGCCTGTTCCAGTGCCTCACCACCCTCATCATAAAAAATGGCTTCCTTATATCCAATCTAAACCTACCGTCTCTCAGTTTAAACCATTGCCCCTTGTCCTGTCACTAGAGGCCCTGGTAAAAAGTCTCCCTCTGTCTTTCTTATAAGCCCCCTTTAAGAATTGAAAGGGCACATCAAGTTCTCCCTAGAGCCTTCTCTTCTCCAAGCTAAACAATCCCACTTCTCTCAGCCTTTCTTCATAGGAGAGGTATTCCATCCCTGTAATCATTTTTGCGGACCTTCTCTGGACCCACTCTGACAGGTTCATGTCTTTCATGTCTTGTGCTGGGGACCCCAGAGCTGGACACAGTACTCCAGCTGGGGTCTCACGAGAGCAGAGTAGAGGAGGAGAATCACCTCCCTTGACCTACTGGCCACGCTTCTTTTCATGCAGCCTAGGATATGGTTGGCTTTCTGGGTTGCAAACACACATTGCCAGCTCATGTCCAATATTTCATCCACCAGTATCTCCAAGTCCTTCTCTGCAGGGCTGCTGATTAATTAATTCCTCAGTCTGTATTGATATTGGGGGCTGCCCCGACCCAGGCGCAGGACCTTGCACTTGGCCTTGTTGAACTTCATGAGGTTTGCATGGGCCCACTCCTCAAGCCTGTCAAGGTCCCTCTGTATGGTACTTGTTTTCTCTAGCATATCTGGTACAAAATCCAGGCTCTGTTGCAATGAGTCTCAGGAAAGATCTCCCACCTGTGTTGTTTACTAGTCTCTTGACTGTGATAATCTGCTGTTGAAATATCTCTGAATGCTGCAACC